GTCTCAAAAAATAAATGAATAAACAGCAACCCACCAAGGTTGTTTCCATGAAGTCTTCCAAGTCAGGGGGCTGTTGCTGGGATGCACTGGGGTGTGCTAGGGGAAAAGGGACCAAGGAGACCCATGGCGTATGGCTGCCCCTAAGGTCGGCACACTGTAATCAGGCTGGAACCCACTTGAGGCAGCCTCGAATGGAAAAGAACTCATTAAAGGGGAACCAATTCACAGCCTATGAAGTGGGGGTGGACAGGAGGGTTGGCTGTCTCTGGAGATGCTGGGCCGAGTGTGGGTGGACTGCACGCAGGAGTACGTGCTCAGACTGTGCACCACTGGCCATGAACCAGGTTTCTTGCCAATACTGCTCTTCAGAGAGGCCCAGGCCACCACGTCCTGGGGTCATCTTGGTGCCCTTTCTCCATGGAGCTGGAGCCAATTCCATTCAGCATGTCCAGCGTGCACCCAGCATGGGGGTAAGCGGGGACTGCAGTGTCTGCCTGTGTGTCCATAGCTGTCACTTGTTAGAAAGACTCTGAAGCCGATGAAGGCCTGCCAAGCGTGCCAAAACAGAGCACGTCCCTGGTCCCAGGACCCTTGTCCCGGCTTCCTGGCTCTTGTGCTATCAAGATTTCATTGCTGGCCAGGCGCGGTGGCTCACGCCTATAATCCCAGCACTTTGGAAGGGTGAAGCGGGCGGATCACCTGAGGTCAGGAGTTCAAGACCAACCTGGCCAACATGATGAAAACCCATCTCTACTAAAAATACAAAAAAATTAGTTGGGCGTGGTTGCAGGCACCTGTAATCCCAGCTACTTGGGAGGCTGAGGCAGGAGAAGTGCTTGAACCCGGGAGGCGGAGGTTTCAGTGGGCTGAGATTGCGCCATTGCACTCCAGCCTGGGCAACAAGAGCGAGACTCCATCTTGGGAAAAATCTCAGCACTTTGGGAGGCCAAGGCAGGAGGATGCCTTGAGGCCAGGACTTCAGGACCAGCCTGGACAACATGGCAAGGCCCCATCGCTAAAAAAAATAAAAGATTAGCCAGATGTGGCAGCATACTCCTGTAGTCCCAGCTACTAGGAAGGCTGAGGCAGGAGAATCACTTGAACCCAGGAGGTGGAGGTTGCAGTGAGCTGAGATCATACCACTGCACTCCAGCCTGGGTGACAGAGTGAGACTCTGTCTCAAAAACTAAACTAAACTAAAATAAAATCTTACGATTTTGAACCACACAAATGGTTTGTATGACCAATAGTTAAAGAAGAAAAAAAAATGTAGAACTAGTGTAGGAATAGGCAGATCAATAGGCCAAGAAGGCTGGGCACGGTGGATCCCACTTGTAATTCTAGCACTTTGGGAGGCCGACATGGGTGGATCACTTGAGGTCAGGAGTTTGAGACAAGCCTGGTCAACATGGCGAAACCCTGTCTCTACTGAAAATACAAAAAAAAATTAGCTGGGCATGGTGGCACATGCCTGTAATCCTAGTTATTTGGGAGGCTGAGGCAGGAGAATTGCTTGAGCCCAGGAGGCAGAGGGTGCAGTGAGCCAAGATCATACCACTGCACTCCAGCCTGGGTGAGAGAGTGAGACTCCATCTCAAAAAGAAAAAGAAAAAGAAAAAAGGCCAAGAAGACCAGATGTAAGATTGCAAGAACTTAGCATATGACCACTAGAGGAAGGATGGATTACTCCACAACTCGTGTTAGGAAAACCATTTCGAGGAATAACAGTAACTCTTAGGTCCGATAGCAATCCTCTAGATGACAAATGCAGGATGGGAGCGAGATCTCATGACTGTGTCTCTGTCTTGCTCTCTACCATGTGACTTACATGTAAGACTTAGGTTTCCCAGTGTCGCCTGGGGTCTTGCTCTGTCACCCAGACTGGAGTGCAGTGGCCTAATCACAGCTCACTGCAGCCTTGAGCTCCTAGGCTCAAGTGATCCTCCCACCTTGGCCTCCTGAGTAGCTGGGACTACAGGTGCATGCCACCATGCCTGGCTAATTTTTTTTTTTTTTTTTTGAGATGGAGTCTCGCTCTGTTGCCCAGGCTGGAGTGCAGTGGCACAGTCTCGGCTCACTGTAACCTCCACTTCCTGGGTTCAAGTGATTCTTCTGCCTCAGCCTCTTGAGCAGCTGGGACTACATGCGTGCGCCACCATGCCTAGTTAATTTTTGTGGGTTTTTTGTTTGTTTTTGTTTTTGTTTGAGATGGAGTTTCACTCTGTTGCCCAGGCTGGAGTGCAATGGTGCAATCTCAGCTCACTGCAACCTCCGCCTCCCGGGTTCAAGCGATTCTCCTGCCTCAGCCTCCCAAGTAGCTGGGATGACAGGCGTGTGCCACCACACTCGTCTAATTTTTTATTTTGAGTAGAGACAGGGTTTCACCATGTTGGCCAGGCTGGTCTCGAACTCCTGACCTCAGGTGATTTGCCCACCTCGGCCTCCCAAAGTGCTGGGATTACAGGCGTGAGCCACTGCGCCCTGCCAAATTTGTGTATTTTTAGTAGAAATGGGGTTTCACCATGATGGCCAGGCTGGTCTCGAACTCCTGAGCTCAAGTGATCCGCCCACCTCAGCCTCCCAAAGTGCTGGGATTACAGGCATTAGCCACCGTGCCCAGCCAAAATAACAAGATTATAAAACATGAATATAGCCTGGCATGGTGGCCTGCACCTGTATTCCCAGCTACCGGGGAGGCTGAGGTGGAAGGATCACTGGAGCTTGGGAGGTGGAAGTTGCAGTGAGCCGAGCTCACACCACTGCATTCCAGCCTAGGTGACAGACGGAGACCCTGTCTCAAAAAATAAAAATAAAAATAAAAAGCATAAGTAAGGCCAGGTTTGATGTCTCCTGTAATCCCAGCACTTTGGGAGGCTGAGGTGGGAGGATCCTTTGAGCCTAGGAGTTCCAGACCAGCCTGAGGCAACATGGTGAGACAGACCCCTGTCTCTGCAAAGAAAAACAAAAAAAAAAAACAAAAAAACCCAGGTGGGTGGTGTCACCTGCAGTCCCAGCTCCTCCGGAAGCTGAGGCAGGAGGCTTGCTTGAGCCTGGGAGATTGTGATCTGTGAACTGTGATCATGCCACTTTACTCCAGCCTGAGTGACAGAGCAAGAGCCTGCCTCAAAAAATAAAAATAAAAATAAATTAAAATAAAGAGGAGGAAACAAGAGACTCCAGCAGAGAAACTAGCCTAAGCCTGCTGGGCTGGGAGGTGGCCTGGTGTGCGTGCGGTTCAGAGCCCAGGCTTGGGAATAGACGTTTCCTGGGTTTGAATCCTGATTCTGCCACCTGCTGGTTGGATCAGTTCCCTGCGGTTGCTGCGGCCAATCACTCTCAGGGGTTCTGGAGGCGGGAATTCTGAAATCAAGGTGTCATAGACTGTGTTCCACCTGAAGGCTCTAGAGGAGCCTCCTCGCCTCTCCCAGCTTCTGGTGGCTCAAGGTGTCCTTTGGTTTTGGAGCAACTTGGATGGAGGCTGGGGCCATTATTCTAAGTGAAGCAACTCAGGAGTGGAAAGCAAAGACTGCATGTTCTCACTTGTAAGTGAGCTAAACCATGCGTATGCAAAGAGAGACAGAGCGGGATAATGGACACAGGAGACTCCGGATAATAGAGAGAGGGGGAAGGATAGAAAACTACATATTGGAGCCAGGCACGGTGGCTCACACCTGTAATCCCAGCAGTTTGGGAGGCTGAGGCAGGCAAATCATTTGAGGTCAGGAGTTCGAGACCAGCCTGGCCAACATGGTGAAACCCCGTCTCTACTAAAAATACAAAAATTAGCCAGGCATGGTATTGGGTGCCAGTGACCCCAACTACTCAGGAGGTTGAGGTGGGATAATCTCTTTTTTTGTTCTTTTTTTTTTTTTTTTTTTTGAGATGGAGTCTCACTCTGTCGCCCAGGCTGGAGTGCAGTGGTGCGATCTTGGCTCACTGCAAGCTCCGCCGCCCAGGTTCATGCCATTCTCCTGCCTCAGCCTCCCAAGTAGCTGGGACTACAGGTGCCTGCCACCATGTCCGGCTAAATTTTTGTATTTTTTTTAGTAGAGACGGGGTTTCACCGTGTTAGCCAGGGTGATCTTGATCTCCTGATCTCGTGATCCACCCACCTCAGCCTCCCAAAGTGCTGGGATTACAGGCGTGAGCCACCGCGCTGGGCCAGGTGGGAGGATCTCTTGAACCCTGGAGGCAGAGGTTGCAGTGAGCCGAGATGGTGCCACTGCACTCCAGCCTGGGTGACAGAGCAGATTCTGTAAAAAACAAACAAACAAACAAAAAAACAAGTTAAAGATACCCATTCACTTCTGTTGACACCCCAGTGGCCACACTAAGCCATAAGGGAGGCTGTGAAATGGAGTCTTGATTCAGGGCAGCTGGGTTCCAGCTGAAAGTCCAGAGTTCCGTTCGTAAGCGTGAGAGGGAGACGCGACAGGAAGAGAGAAATAGAAGCCTGTTTGCAGCTTTGCAGGAACCGTGGCCAGACCCTCTGGGGAGCAGCTGCTGCTCCTATTACAAGGGGGATCTAGTAATTGGAGAGAGGGTGGAATTCATGGGGGCAGTTGGTTCTTTGTGGAGTTGTGAGGATGGGACATGAGGTTTTCCCCTAACACTTGGGCACAGTGTATGAGGCTATGATAAGTTGATAGTAGACTGGAATTCCTGCTGGGACCCCAGGACAGATCAGAAGTGATGAACATTCCTTAAACATCCAGGGAGTGAAATCGTCCACATTGGTTTGGGTCCAACTCCCCGTGGAGGAAAGTTCCTATGACACCACCTCTAAGGGGACAGCTTGTCCCAAGTCGCATGTTCCTTCCCTTCTCATCTGGGCACCTGGAGCCCTTGAGCTTGCGTCTTCTAACGCCCACGCCCACCTGCCTGCTGTCCGTACGGCCCGCTGTGCCTCCCCAGCACATGGCAATGGTAGAGGTGGGAGGTTGGTATTTTATGCTCAAGGCTCTCTAGGATGGCAGACATGCCTGTGCTTCTGTTCTTAGACTCTCCAGGCTCAAATCAAAAGACTGGAAATGAACAAGGTGAATAAGAGCACGATGGAGGAGGAGCTGAGAGAAGTGAGTGAGCAGAGGGTCCTCTGCCTTGCCTACTCCCCTACCCAGGGAAACGGAGCCATCCAGGCGAAGCACACCGGACAGCCTTCCAGAATTTCCCTCCCTCTTTGTTCATATTGAAAACAGAAGTCAGCTGGGAGTGGTGGCTCATGCCTGTAATCCCAGCAATTTGGGAGGCCAAGGCGGGTGGATCACCTGAGGTCAGGAGTTCGAGACCAGCCTGGCCAACATGATGAAACTCCGTCTCTACTAAAAATACAAAAAATTAGCCAGGCATGGTGGCAGGTAACTGTAATCCCAGCTACTTGGGAGGCTGAGGGAGCAGAATCGGTTGAACCTGGGAGGTAGAGGTTGCAGTGAACCGAGATTGTGCCATTGCACTCCAGCCTGGGTGACAAGAGCAAAAACTCAGTCTGAAAAAAAAAAAAGAAAGAAAAGAAAAAAGAGTCACATCAACTCCCATTTTCAGCAATTGAGGATTATTAACACTTCTATATGAACTTGAAAATCATACATCAGCTGTGCACAGGGTGGCTCATTCCTGTAATCCCAGCACTTTGGGAGGCCAAGATGATAGGATCACTTGAGGCCGAGAGTTTGAGAACAGCCTGGGAAACATAGCAAAATCACAACTCTACAAAAAAAATTTAAAAATTAGCCGGGCATGATGGAACATACCTGTAGTCCCAGCCACTCAGGAGGCTGAGGTGGAAGGATTCCTTGAGCTCGGGAGGTGGAGGCTGCGGTGAGCTGTGATTGTGCCACTGCACTCCAGCCTGGGCAACCTTGAGCAAGATCCTGTCTCAAAAACAATAATAATAATAATAAAAATCATACATCAACTTCCCTGTTATAGGAAAACCTTGGCTTTGATCTCAAGATCGTGTTTGAATCCACATAGACCCCAGGGTTGCATTTAAGCCAAGGATAAAAGTCCAGAGTTCTAAACTAGAAGCACCAGACCTAATGGGTGTGATGTCTCCCAGCTTTGCCTTCCTCCATCCCAGCAGCCTCACCTCCCTGAACTCCCTGTCTCCCTAGAAAGCCGACAGGAGCGCCCTGGCAGGCAAGGCAAGCCGAGCTGACCTGGAGTCTGTGGCCTTGGGGATGAACGAGATGATTCAGGGCATGCTCTTTAAGGTCACGATCCACGAGGACAACTGGAAGAAGGCTGTGGAGGAGCTCAGCAAGGATGTGAACACGAAGGTGAGTGTCCCTGTGTTGATTTTCACTTTCTTCCTAACAAATTAACCCAGAAATTAGCAACTGCAAACAACAAACGTTTTCAGTTTAGGAGGAGCAAGAATTTGGGAGTGACCCAGCAGGTTAGCTGGGTGGGTCAGGGTCTCCCATGAAATTGCAGTCAAGATGTCATCCGGGGCTGGTCTCATCTGAAGGCTCGAATGAGGCTGGACGAGCCAATTCAAAGGAAATTCCCTCATGTGGCTGTTAGTAACAGTCTTCAGTTCCTCATCCCATGGACTCTGCCTTAGGGCCACTTGAGTGGCCTCATGACATGGCAGCTGGCATCCCCCAGAGCAAATGATCCAAGAGGGGAAGTAAGAAGCTGCAATGTATTTACACACACACACACACACACACACACACACACACACATACAGGGCCTTACTCTGGGCACCTTCCCCATACATAATCAATACATGAATTGATCCCCATTTCACAGAGGAGAACACTGAGCCTCAGAGAGGTTATTATACTTCCCTCAGGAAATGCTGCTGCTCATGGTGGAGCTGGGGCTCAAACCCAGAGCTGCCTGATTCTAAACCTAATTTAACCTCTTTAGGTCAGTCCAGCCACCTCAGTTGCAAGAACCATGTAGCACTCTCGTTGGACCGACTGTTCCAGTCTACAACACTATACTAATTGAGGAAGGGGCTATGACTCCTCTAGACATTTCCCTAGGGTCTGGCACATCACTGGCAGTCAGTAAATGATGAATGAATAAATGAATGACTGTCACGGACCCTCAGAGACTCCCCTCCTCCACCCCACATCCCTGCGCTTACCCAGGAGAGAGGCATAGTTAGCCTCCAGGATGGTCGCCAGCCATACCTCTTGGTATTCACACGATTGTGTAGCTCCCTCCCACGTTGAATGGGACCAGCTTGTGTAACCAACAGGATATTAGAGAGATGATGGAGGGTAACCGCCTTCCATCATAAAAGACATTGCAGCCAGGTGTGGTGGCTCACGCCTGTAATCCCAGTACTTTGGGAGGCCAAAGCAGGCAGATCACTTGAGCCCAGGAGTTCAAGACTAGCCTGGGCAACATAGTGAAACTCTGTCCTCCCCACCAAAAAAACAAAAAGCCAGGTGTGGTGGCACACACCTGCAGTTCCAACTACTCAGGAGGCTGAGGTGAGAGAATACCTGAGCCTGGGAGGTTGAGACGGCAATGAACCAAAATCGTGCCACTGCACTCCAGCCTGGGCAACAGGAGCACCCTGGCAGGCACTCAGAGTGAGACCCTATCTCAGAAAAAAAGGTGGGGGCTCAAAACAACCAAAAGCAACACACGAAGAGATTGTACTTGTTTCCTGGTTTAATTGAAGCAAGTCTACAAATGGGCTGGAGATGACATCCAAGTCAGGAATTGTTGCTAATTGTATTAAACATAATCGTATTGTGGTTATAGAATAAAATGTTATCACACTCAAATATTTATTAGGGAAATGTCACCATTTCTGTAACTAAAAAAAAAAAAAAAAAAATACTCCAGCCGCTAGGCACAGTGGCTCAACGCCTGTAATCCCAGCACTTTGGGAGGCTGAGACAGGTGGATCACGAGGTCAGAAGATTGAAACCATCCTGGCTAACGAAATACAACAAAAATTAGCCAGGCGTGGTGGCAGGTACCTGTAGTCCCAGCTACTCAGGAGGCTGGGGCAGGAGAGTGGAGTGAACCCTGGAGGCAGAGCTTGTAGTGAGCCAAGATCGCGCCACTGCACTCCAGTGTAGGCAACAGAGTGAGACTCCATCTCAAAAAAAAATACTCCATCAGGTGGCACAGTGGCTCACACCTGTAATCCCAACACTTTGGGAGGTTGAGATGGGAGGATCACTTGAGCCCAGGGGTTCCAGACCAGTGCTGGCAACATAGCAAGACTGTATCTCTGCTTTAAAAAAATATTTTTGGCCAGGCACAGTGGCTTACGCCTGTAATCCCAACACTTTGAGAGGCATAGGTGGGTAGATCACTTGATATCAGGAGTTCGAGACCAGCCTGACGAACATAGTGAAACACTGTCTCTACTAAAAATACAGATTAGCTGGATATGGTAGTGGGTGCCTGTAATCCCAGCTACTCGGGAGACTGAGGCAGGATAATCGCTTGAACCCAGGAGGTGGAGGCTGCAGTGAGCTGAGATCGCACCATTGCACTCCGGCCTGGGCAACAGGAGTGAAACTCCATCTCAAAAATAAATAAATAAAATAAAAGTAAATAAATAAGTCCGGGTGCAGTGGCTCACACCTGTAATCCCAGCACTTTGGGAAGCTGAGGCGGGCAGATCATGAAGTCAGGATTTCGAGACCAGTCTCGCCAATATGGTGAAACCCCGTCTCTACTAAAAATACAAAAATTAGGCTGGGCGTGGTGTCTCACGTCTATAATCCCAGCACTTTGGGAGGCTGAAGTGGGCGGATCATCTGAGGTCAGGAGTTCGAGACCAGCCTGGCTAACATGGTGAAACCCCGTTTCTACTAAAAGTAAAACAAACAAACAAACAAATTAGCTGGGTGTGGGAGCACGTGCCTGTAATCCCAGCTACTTGAGAGGCTGAGACAGGAGAATTGCTTGAACCCGGGAGGCGGAGGTTGCAGTAAGCCGAGATCGCACCATTGCACTCCAGCCTGGGCAACAAGAGCAAAACTCCCTCTCAAA